AACGACTATTCGAGTTTTACATGTATGCAAGAAATGCAAACAGGTTTACTAACATCTTTCTTTTCAGTGTCGAAATTATATTTTGTTCTGTGCTGAATTAATCATGATGACATCAATACATGTAATATGAATCATCTATTAACGTCAGTTAAATATAGGTGAACAAAGAAGTATTACTCATTATCACATGCAACATATAAATATTCATTCCCTCCTTTTGCTTCGTGAAGTATAGTCGCATTTTTCTTCTTTTTGATATCGTTACATTCCTTGTGCATCTGCCTCTCTAAGTCGATAAGAGAGGAATGATGGCAGAGGTGATTAATAATGGTCCTAATAATGATCATCTTTCCGGAAACGAATATGAGATACTGGAACAAGGTTCTATATCAAATGTTCAAGTTGAATTTATATCAAGATTTTTATCGGAATGTCCGGAAGCAGCTTTAAGTGTACACAAGTTTCTGCAGACAAATTATTCCAAGTCAAATCAGCAACAGCAAATAGTGCAACCAGTGAATTCAACTCCAAAGCGTGGACATCCTCTAGATGATAGTGAAGGTTCAATCAATAATGGAAGAGGTCGTCGTAAATATCCTCGAAAAGGTATCGACAACAATGCACAAAAGCTATCGCATAATGTACAACAAGATATTAATTTACAACCACAACAATCATCGTCGTCAATGTCGTCAGGTGAAAGACAACATCAAGGGATAAATCAGGCTACTACGAATCGTAAACGAATTTCTTTTAATCAACTGAAGCACGCGGTATCTTCTAATCTACCATGTTTTTTTATTGAATTCAGTTCGGATGCTGATCGTCATAGTATTCCAACAGCTCTTCATGCAAGTGATCTTATACTTAAAGAACTACAATCGAAGGGTGTTTTAATTAATAAGTTTACATTAGTAGGATGGGCAGGGGAAAAGCTCAAGTTAGGTGTTAATAATAAAGAAGATTATGCTACTCTCGTTGGTTCGGATAAATGGCCTACAAAGATAAATGGGATTGATATTGTCGTCATAAAACCTAAATATATACCCGATTCATTTGCTCTTGTAGTTCGATATGTTCCTAGAGAACTAGATGAAAATTTTGTCTCAAATGAAATACAGAGAACAATTGCCTCTGCAGATCGAATTAAACGTATTCACTATTCCTACCAAAGAAGAACAGATGATTATCGATTCGATGTTAAAGATTATAGTGAATATAATGCTGTGCTGCAACTGGGTCGAACTGCAATAGGTCATTCGTGGTTATCGATCACCAAGTTTTATCCTGGAAACCGTCTAACTTACTGCACGAAATGTTGGTGTATAGGTCATTTAAGAAATAAATGCAACTCAGTAAACAAATGTCGAATTTGTCTTGAAAATTTGAGTGTGGATACTCTGCATATGTGTAAAAATGAACCGAAATGTGCTCAATGTGATGGAAATCATCATTCATTAGATAGTCAGTGTCAAGTTATTAAAGAATATAAAGACGAATTAAAAAAGGATGTTGAAGATGCGATTCAAAAAGGATTATTACAGCGATTTTCAATGCAAGAAAAATCTCCTTCATTCGAACTTCGTGAACAAGATTTTCCACCATTAGCAGCAAGTGATAATCATTCTAATAAAAAATGGAATATTGCTCAATCTCGTACAACGGTCGAGTCGAATTTTTTACGTACATCAGATACAGAAAAAACAATTGAATCTATTAATGATAATCTGACAAAGCTTATCGATAGTAACCAACGACTAGAAAATAAAGTCGATTTACTATCATCAAACATAAAAATCGTTAATCTCGACACTCAGCTACATCAAGCAGTCCTAGCGGATACCATCAACATTATGAAAGATTTTATTCAATATTTCATACCAGCATCGTTAACTACTGGCAAAATTGAAAGATTTTCGCTGGTACCTGTGGCGAAAGAATACTACAATCGCTTTCAGGTCGCGTCCTCAAGATTAATAAATGGCTTCCAATTAAATCACCAGGTTCAGCTGATTCCAACTACGTATAATAATAATAACACTGCTCAAACCGATCAACAGCCTTCGTCAGTATACAAATCAACACATAATGCTAAGTAGATCATCAAATCTTAATGTACACGCCAAAGCTTTTTTTCCTGCTTCAGTGAATTATTTATCTAACCCTAGAGAGGAAGCTATGCACCGGCTGAAAACTTGGAATTTTCCAACTAAAGATCAGAAATTAGTACTATCTCTGTTAGATGAATGGTACACAGGTAGAACCTTGAATATAGTCTTAGAAGAATGGGAAAAGATTGGAATAGCCTCCTTACGGAACCAAAAAGAATATATAAAGATTCTATGCTATAATGTCGAAGGATGGGGCACTCGGGCAGTTGAAGCTATTGATTTAGTGTATAAAGTTCAAGCTTCTATTTGTATATTTACAGAAGTAGGAGAGTTATGGAACACATGTCGATTACCACATTTTAACACGTTCTATCAAAAGGGTACTAACAAGAATGGAGGAGTATGCATAGCAGTAGGGAAGCATCTGAAAGCGACGCGCATCGAGATTAACATTCCGAACACGGTTATTATTGATATATCAGGACTATCAGAACCAGTGCGTATTATTGGTATTTACTGGCCCTCTAGTCAACAGCGTGATCTAGATGAAATTCAGCCGTATGTAATAGAAGGTACTATACTATCAGGTGACTTTAATGCAACAGTGAAGGAATGGAATAGTCCAATAACTGATAGGAGAGGCGCGCGAGTGAGAGAATGGATTAATGAAAATAATCTCAGTTATATTACATCAACGACCAACTCGTCTAAGCGCTCCCTACGTAACATAGATTTGTTGTTCTCTAATATGAGTACTATTTCAAGTGAAACATTATTTTTTGGTACTAGTGATCATTGGCCTATTTTGCTATCATGCGAGAACATTTTTTTCGATACAAACAGTTTTTTTCCTCATACAAATTGGAAGGTATTTGAAGCAGTATTAGCGCTATTACAAATATTCTGGATGGAAGAACAAAAGAAAAACAGTGCAGATGAGTGGTATAAGCAATATATTCGTTTCATCGCGGCGGTCAAAAACAGAGTGACTCATTGGAAAGAGAGAGATAAATTTAAACCATCGTTACCGGCTGATATCATCGAAAAATTAAAAGAAATACGGAAAGTGAGAAATAGATATTATCATTTAAGACATAAAGGAGTTTTTAGCGAGGAAACGAGAGTGCTTTTACGCGCAATGACGAGAGAATCGAAAGTTGATATAGCAAAACATAAAAATGCTCAATGGCAAAACTTCTTATCTAATATTCAAATGTCGTACGAAAAATCAGATAAAGCGTTTTGGACACACTTATCGCGCATATACAAATCGCGATCGCTGCCGTTCTATAAACTATCGGATGGTACTAAAATAATATCAACACAAGAAGAAATCACTAACGAATTATTCCAGTACTACAGTGAACAGTTTAAAGTACCTGCATTGGATTGCTCTAATGAACATGAAGGTCAGATAGATAAGATGTATAAAGAGATGTTAAATAGATTATCTGTGTCGAAGGTAAACGTAGAAAAAACTAGTACTGCTGAAATTAGGCGTATAATTAAAACCTTAAAGCCTAAGAAATCAGCAGGCTTGGACGCAGTGTCAAACTTTATAATTAAAAAACTTCCTCCAAGTTACATCGAGTGCTTAGCTAACTGCTTCAATACATGGTTAAACGAGTGTCATTATCCAGATGACTGGAAAATTGCAAAAATCATTACTCTAAATAAGTTGAAATCGGGTATCCCAAAGTGTGAGCAAACTCGTCCGATTTCTTTGTTAGCTACACATTCAAAGCTGTTCGAAAAAGTGCTTTTACTTAGAATTAGACACTGGGCAGAAACAAATCGTTTAGTACCGTCAGAACAATCTGGTTTCCGCCCAAAATGTCTCCTACCAACTCGAGTACTTTCGATATATCAGGAAGTGAAAAACAACATGGCAGCTAATATTCCGACACTTGCCCTCTATGTCGATTACCAAAAGGCTTATGATCGTGTTTGGCATGCCGCTCTTCTTTGTAAACTAGAAAAAATGGGTATGCCTCTAAACTTATTGAAAATGACTAATAGTTGGTTAAAAGATAGAAAAGCTTACGTAGAATATGGTGAAATAACTTCGAAAATTTTTAATATAAATATAGGACTGCCGCAGGGTAGTAGTCTTAGTCCGTATTTATTTATAGTGTTTCACTCAGATCTGACAAATTATCTAGGAGCTCATTCATGTCATCTATTTGCAGATGATCTGTGTGTATTAATTAAACCTCCAATAATGAAAAAATTAGGCCCGATGATTGACTTCTTAGAAAAAGAAGGGTCACGAGTTTGTAATCAGGTTTTTATGTACTCAAAAAAGTGGAAACAGCCGTTAAATGTTTCAAAAACTGTAGTACAACTATTTCATACACAAGTTAAAAGACCTATAGTAAACGTAACAATAGACGGAAATAAAATCGAGTTAGTCAAAGAATTCAAATACCTAGGGTTTACTTGGACGGATAAACTTTCGTTGAAACCGACAGTCGATAAAACCATAGGATTTATTCAGAGATCGCTAGGAAAACTGAAATGGATGATGTCCGGTCGCAAAATGTCACGTAAAGCTCTTCGTCAATGTTTCTTCGCGTACACTTTCCCGCATTT